TCGTACTACATGTAGATAGCGTTTTGTCTTTCCAATATCCGACTCAACGCACTCGCAAGGTACCTGGTAGATACACTCTTTTTCTTGTTTTGATGATTCCGGATTTGTTTCTATTAGGACACTTCTTAGAGTAGTCCCAGACCCAGATAAAAACAGTTTTAATTTTATACTGCTTGGATATTCGTCTGATTTTCTCCGATGTTCCTTTCACATAGGGAATCGTCAAGAGAGAGAGAGAGAGAACGCATCCTCCTCAGACTGGCGCACCAATGAGTCAGACTTGCTATTGGATATAATATTGTCGAGAGATTTTGCAGAGTAACTATTGTGAAGCAAATCGGGTTTTTGAAAAAAAATGATATTTAAAGTAATAAATAGCTAAAAATCGGGTTTTCTGGCCAAATTTCGAAAAACTTTATTTGAAAATGTTGAATTTTTTAATTTTACATAAACATACCAATTTTGCTGAACATATCAAGCTGTAAACAATTATATGAACTTTAATTCGCAAAGAGTTTTTTATAAACTTTAGTATTTGGCATATCGAGGGGTTGTTTTTTTACCTTAACTTTAAAACATCCTGTGCAATAATTTCGTGTGTAAATTTTCGTAAAATATAATTTTACAATCAGAACCATGTCTCCTGACTATCTTTTTTTGGATCGTGTCAATACATGCCTTGGCCAATTTTTAAGAGCGAAATGAACTTACCACGAATAATTTGCAATTTTTTCAATTATCATTTCTTTTTGAAGTTATTTTTAACAAGGCGGCTTTGGTGATTATTGTTAACTATATACTACTATGAACTGCCCATCACGTTCGACGTTTGGGAAATGCTAGGCAGGAGGTTTGGAGGTCGCGAAGCGGTACCAGCTTCATTAAATGAACATCGCTTGGTTCTTAAAGAGGAACAGTATGAACAGACGTATACAGGCAGTTATAGCAGTCAAGGAAGGCAATACCAAGTATTAGGATATTTTTTACAATTTTTGTTTTCTGTTTGTATACTTGATTATTACAGAGAGTTTCGTTAATATCGTTAGTTCTGTTATCGTTATGAATGTTGATTAAAACCAGGACCGCATCGTTAGTCTTTGGTGTTTTTTTTTAATTTAGTATAGAATATCCAATGCAGTATAATATTACGTTACGACAATAGTCACCAAAACCATCTCGTCATATTAAAAAATTACATAAAAAATGACAATTAAAAAAATTGCAAATTGATCAAACCAAAAAACAAAATGCTCAGGAATCATGGTTCTGACCGTAAAATTATATTTTTGGGATATTTTACACACGAAATTATTGCACAGGGTGTTTTAAAGTTAGAGTAAAAAACAACCCCTCGATTAACACGGTATAATATTATGCCAAATACTAAACTTTATAAAAAAACTTAGTTTACGAATTAAAGTGGATATAATTATTATATACACCTTGTTAAATTATTCACGAAAATAGGGCTAAAAATAGCAAAAATATAACACATTAAAATTTGACCAAAAATTTCTCCGTTGCGTTTTGTTTGCATCTGAGTGTATATTGTGAGTTGTTGCTTAAGCTTAAGGGTAGTAATTTTTTAATGTTGTACTTAATTTTAAGTACGACATTAAGTTATATTTCTTTTAATTAAAATGTAAATTGAAGTTACATTTAGCTAAAATAATGTAATACTACAGGTATTACCTTGAACGTTATGGCATCTATAATCTATAATTGACTGACAAAATACCGTATGATCGAGAAAAAATGGAGTCCAGTTGGCTTGGAAATGACGATCGTTGACATTTTCCATATAATTTTACATATAAAATGACAGCGATCTTCATTTCATAGCCATCGCTGACGCCGTTTTTTTTCGATCATGCGGTACTACAGAGTTACATATTAAAAGAAATATTTTTTTATCAAATATACCCTATCAATAATTCGAATCACTAAAAATACATGATTGACATTTTGATATTACCAACAAATAACTGTCAAGTGTCAGTCTGACATAGAATTTTGCCAATTATAGAGAATCGACAAAATGTTTTAATTTAGAGAAAAATCTTCTTTGCTTTTAAATGTATTAAATCGCCTGATATACAGGGTTGTTCACCACATACGACGCGGAGTATTGTAGCTAAACGATTATATTTTTACAAATTGCAAGTTTTGGGTTCGTTAAAGGACTCTTAAAGCTACAATTTAAAAATATTTTTACAAGTGTCCCAAATAAATAAAAAAATATCAAAGTTGTATTTTTTTAAATGATACACCCTGTATATTATTACATTTTTAGTTTCTACGATTAAAATAAAGGTAAGTTTGATTAAGGTTTATCACACTTAAACTTTACCGTTTTTGAAATATTTTCAATTTTGTGAAATTGCAGTAAAAATTTGAAGGCTTAATTTCTCCAAGGGTATTAAAGTTTTTAGCACTAAATATTTACTGAAGTTTATTTATTGATCAGTTATTATGTTGCAATAATCAAAATAATACTACCTAATACAGAGTGTCTAAAAATTTATTTTAGATAATTTCTAGCTTTAAACAGCAATAACTTGTTTAATTTAAATGGAACACACTGTATATTTCGGAGAATCAGATGCACAATTTAATTATCTATCAAATTGTGTTATCCCATTTTTTACTTATCCCTTCAACTTTTCGTAGAAATGTACTTTCTTATAATTTAGACCTCATTTATCAATATACCCATTATAGTGACATTTTAGACTGTTTTTAAAGCAACAAATGTACAAAATGTACAGGTGCTAAAAACGATAATATTAATTGCCCATTTGTATATGTTACAGTAAAAGTTGGAAATCAGTGATTGTTAACAATTACTAGTAAAATCACATTCACTGATTTGCTTAGACTACGCCAGTAAAAGTTCAACAGCTATTTTTAAAACCAACTTTTACTAGTGAATGTTAGCATTCCCTGGACGAAAGCAGTAAGTTTGGAAGATTCAGTTAGCGCGGTTGCCACACGTTGTGAAATATAAGAATAAATAAAGATAAGTTGAATAATAGTCAATATAGGGTTAACATTAAATTGGGCTAAACGTTGGCAACGTTGACCTCTGGTGTAAATTCGCTTTGTTTTTTGTGGTTATGTATAATTGTTTATTTATCATTGTAAAAAGTGCTGTGCTGTATTTTCCCTATGGATGAAATTTTCTGTGAAAAATTAAGGTAAACTAGGCACTCGCAAGAATGTATTAGAGCTTGTTTTTCATTTTTGCAATATAATGAAGTCATAGCAAAAGTTAAGCATGCAGGAGAAAATATACCTATACTAAGGAACCTATGAACTTATTAAACGTTTTGATATGCTTGAAGTAGCTGGTTCGAAAAAACGAATAACTCCTGTTGAAGAAAATTCGGGCATACCTTTATTTTATCCACGATGAACAACTTTGTTAAAAAAAACCTTGTACCAATAAGTAATCTTATGTTTATGAATGTTTTTTTTTAAATTGTTTGTCGTTATTTTTTATAATTTCCAATAAATATACTAAAGAAGTAAATTGTAATTTACTTCTTTAGTATATTTTTTTAAAGTTTTATTTGTTCTAACTTCCACCAACATTCTCTTTCTCCACACTCGTCCTGTACAATAGAATAACTTTTACTGGCAACCTTTAGTAAATGTTACTTTCACTAGTGAATGTTAGCAATTACTAGGAAAAGTCGACAAATCTCTTTAAAATACCACATTCACTGGTCCAATGCGTAATTGTTAGCATTTCCTAGTGAATGTTAACAATCACTGAATTTCCGACTTTCACTGTAACATATATAAAAAGAAAACTATTTAAATCTTTATGGATATCTTTTAAAAGAGTATGCCATTAATTAAATATACCACCATTACTCATATACCACCATAATTACCACCATTATATGGTGGTTAGTGTTAGTTAATAAATTATTCTAAATAAATGTGGGTTTGAAATCAGAAATCAATATAATAATAAGTTATAAAAATAAACGTCTCTGCTGTTCTAAATAAGAATTCGTCATTAAATTAAATAAAATTTTTAAGGTGTTAATTTTTACTACATAGTCTAAAACACATACTAAACTCAATTCAAAATAATCTAAAATGTCAATATTCCATGGGTATATTGATTAATGAGGTCTAAATTATAAGAAAATGCATTTTCTACGAAAACTTGGAGAGATAGGTAAAAAATGATATAATACAGATCGATAGACAATTAAATTGTGCATCAGATTATCATAAAATATACAGGATGTTCTATTTAAATTAAGCAAGTTATTTCCGTTAAAATCTAGAAATTAATTAAAATAATTTTTTAGACATTCTGTATAAGGTAGTATAATTTGTATTATTGCAACACAAAATTTAGTAAATAGAAATACTTCAGTACCTACGCCCTACCGGTACCTTTTGGTACCTACTAAAAACTTAAATATGTCTAGGGAAATGAAGCATTAAAATTATTACTGTATTTTGACAAAAACCTAAATATTTCAAAACCCGTAAGATTAAAATTTGGTAAACCTTAATCAAATTTACCTTTATTTTAATCATAGAAACTAAAAATGTAATAATATACACGGTATTCCGTCTAAAAAATACATCTTTGATATTTTTTATTTATTTGGGACACTCTGTCTCTTAAATATTTTTAAATTATAGCTCTAATAGTCTTTCAACAAACCCAAAACTTACAATTTGCAAAAATCTAATCGTTTAGCTATAATAATCCGTGTCGTATGTGGTGAACAACCCTGTATACTTAGGGTAGTTTTACAATATAAACTATAGAATATTTCGTATTATTTTAAATATATTTCATAAAGAATAAGCAAAGATATTGTTTCATGTAGCATTGTCAGTTACTCGCTAAAGAAATTGATCACGTAGGTGTATTCTTCCATCCTTTGATTAGACATTTTCTGTTATATCGTCGTCAACTACATCAACGAGCGCTGTGCACCAATTACCTTAATTGGAAAACTGACAGTCTGACGTTAAAGAATTTCGAAAAGAACAAATTAGTGTATAGAAGTATTCAAAGTTGTTTACATTATGGATAAAAGAATCCTCGCTTTGGTAGAAGACGACGAAAAAGACGAACGTCTATTTAGGCACACTGTGGCTGTTCAAAAACAAGCTGAAACGCTAAAACAGAAAATTCAAGAGACTTATAACAAATTAACTGTCTCGGAGAAAAATTTAAAAAATATGGAAGATGAAGTTTCAAAAATCCGCTGCGAGTGGATAGTTTTAGACAATCAGGAAAAACAATTATTGGAATGCGTAGAAAATAGGGCCAGCGAGGTGCTTCAAAAAGAGCATGAACTAAAAATATTAAAGGTATTGTTTCATATTTTACTCATATCGTATGATCGAAAAAACGGCGTCAAAGACGGCTGAAGAATGAGAATCGATGATAATTTTGGTGAGATCAGTCTCTAGACGTCGTTTACTAAAAATAACATCAAACTTGTCAAAAAAATTAAACTAATTATAGAAAGATTAAAAAAGGATGGAAAGTTATGTATATTGATCAGTAAGTAAGTAAGTAAGTAAGTAAGTATTAATCGGTGTAAAACGTTCTACGTCTTCCGATGTCATTTCTCTATGCCTGTCTGTCTCTCCATGCACCGTCTTCGAGAGCTCTTTCCTCCATAAACGTGTCAATCCCGTCGTGCCAATTTCTTCTCTGTTTACCCGGTTTTCATCTTCCTGCAGGTTTCCAGTTAATAATTTGCTTTGGGATTCTTATTTCTGTCATTCTTTGGACATGTCCGTACCATATGAGTTGACTGTTCTTTATCTCCTCCACTATTGTATGTTTAACTTCCATAAACTTATGCGTTCATTAGTTATTCGTTCGAGTCTTGATTTGGGAAGGTCTGAAGCCTATGATATGAACTTATACTTGAGCTTCTTAATTCATGTATCTGAACATTTACTGAAAGATTTGCCTGCTGATCTCCAAAAATCCATCTCTGTAGCTTCCAGCATTCGTTTTGTTGTTTCTTTAATTCGCCACACTTCACAGCTGTACGTGGTTATACTCTTGATGATGGTATGAACAAAACCATATACCCTATGGTTTTGTTCCTGTTGTTTATGCTTCTCTTCCACAGTATCCCATTTAATACGGTGATAGCATTCCTTCCAAGTTGGTTTCGTTCTTTAATTGCTGTATTCAACAGTCCATCATTCGGGATTTGCATTCCCAAATATTTTTATTTTGTGCAGCACTTTATTTTCTTCCCTTCTTCTTGTCTCCTCCGATACACATACATATATTCTGTTATGTTAGTATTGATCTCAAGACCCCATTTCTGATATTCTTCTATAAGCTTACGTGTCATATAATTCATGTCATCGTAATCTTGTGCTATGAGCACCTGATCGTCCGCGAAGCACAATGTGTAGAGCATGTTATCCCCTATGGGTACTTCCATATTTCTACATTTTTGCTTCCAACCTTTGAGAACTTGTTCGAGATAGATCTTGAACAGTGTTAGTGAAATACAGCACCCTTGTTTCAGACCTTTGGTTCCATTAAATCCTGTTGTTAACTTTTTGCCGACTTTTATTCTAGTTTTTGTTTGTTTCTATAATGATTTTACTGCTTTTATTAGCTCCACGTTTATATTATTTTTTTCTATAGCTTCCCAAAGTCTCACAAGGGGAACGCTGTCGTATGCCTTCTGCAGGTCCACGAACAAAAGATGTAGCTCTTGGTTTAGATTGCTCGTTTTACTTATTACTTGAGTGACTGTAAATAAGTGGTCCACCGTCGATCTTCCGGCTCTAAATCCTGCTGGTTTTTTGGCTTCTATTTTTTGGTCCTAACGGATAAGGATAGAACGTCTCCAGATACCTATTCTCAAAAAATTTATTTTTTCTCGAATTTTAAACTACACCATTGAAAAATAATTTTTACTCGATATAAAAATAAATTAAGAAATTAAACTAAAGAAGAGTACGGACCAAGTAATCACATCTAGGGCTTGATCTCTAGCTTCTAAGTCTCACTAGTCAACTTGCATACCCAACCATGTTGCCGTTTCTTGTCCCTTAATTTTATGATTTTCAATTGTCAGCTAAACTAGAGATATTTTTACAGTTTATTTCAAAGTTTGATTGTAATTTCGTTTATTTTGTTAGAACTTTCTTAAATAGTAATCAGATTACTAGATAAAGTAAGAATAAGTGAAATGAATACCAAGTTTTGTGCGTTTTAGTGTAGGTTGTTTATTCTGTTATAATCAAATAGGTATTTACTAGAGATTTAAAATTGGTTTAAAAATTAAATTGTTTTACTTTTTAAAATTTTATATAATTTTTTTTAACAACTTATATCATGATCCCGTTAAAAATGTTGTATTAATAAAAAAAAAATATATAAATATAAATAAATGTAAATCATCTTTAAACCTACTGACAAAATCACACATAGGACATTTTTTTCTAATATTTTGTACAGGGATATTGGTATTATTTAAACCGTCACCTAAAACAGTTCTATATCGTTCAATCAAGGATATTAAGATCAAATTTTCCATTCTTAAAGAGGACAAAGAAAGACACAGTCAAAGTCTATGCATTATCATTACGAATATCCTGAATAACAATGCTTACACTTAACTATGCCTCACTTAGAAAATTTAGTCAATTACCTTGTGCCACTTGTGCATGTGATTTTAAATGCCGTGCTAAACTCTTCTTTGTTACTAGAATGTTTATTTTTGCGGTGAGTAGGTTTTTAAGTAAGGTTTTTAAACTATATTTATTTACTTATGCATATCTTTAGTTTTTAAAGGTGCTATTTCCTCTATCTGATTCGGATGAAATTTTTTAGCGGGTTTCCGAAGCACACTAAAACACACAAAACGGCGATTACATTCGCAGCAAGCACTGCCATTAGAAATACTTGTATTCATTTCACTTATTTATTAACCAAATAGATTATATGAGGAATGTCATCGATGTTTATTTCCAAGATCATACGGTTGTATATGTAAACTGTTCATAAAATAAGGCGACAACGAACGGCAACATTGTTGTGTCTGCGATTTGACTAGTGGGACGTAGAATCTAGTTCCACTAATAGCACAGCTAATAGCATATTGTAATCGCAAAACATTTTCCGATGCACGTCATCAATCATATCGATATTGACACTAAAGTCTATAAACCTGACTAAATGAAATTTTGTCAAAAATGATTAAATTTGCTGTATGATTTAAGATACCGACCAGCTCTTCATTTTACTTTATAGAGCAAATAATTGAAACAGATATTTTATTTAGATTAAAGCTGCAAAAATTAGTTTAAACCGAATTTTATATTATAGTCATCAATCATATCGATATTGACACTAAAGTCTATAAACCTGACTAAATGAAATTTTGTCAAAAATGATTAAATTTGCTGTATGATTTAAGATACCGACCAGCTCTTCATTTTACTTTATAGAGCAAATAATTGAAACAGATATTTTATTTAGATTAAAGCTGCAAAAATTAGTTTAAACCGAATTTTATTATCGCTATGTTGGTCACATTGCGCCGTGTTCAGCAATGTTGTCCTTTATTATTTGACAATTATCCTAGTATCAGTCATTATTTTGAATAATATCGTGTTGTTGAATCTTTTTGAGTAATTCTCTTTTTTTTTACCTATTTTCATAGTTTTTTTAAACTGCAGTTTTAAGCACAAACAGTTCTTTTAAGAACTAAATTTTCGAGTTTTTGTATTGGATTTCTTGAAATTGTGTGTTAAAAATATGCCAAAGCATTTAAACAGTCGAAGCAAAGAGCTTGTCGCTTCCCTGTTTTTTAAAACTATTTTAAACGAGAACGTGACAATAAAGGTCTTTTATTACCCTTGACTGCAGTCAGAAAAGGAAGTTTGATTGATAAGCACATTATACCACTTTCAAAGTTAGTTTTTATTAAATTTTGTGATTATTAGTTTGTGCATTAATAGCACCCTCTTACTTGTTATTACCACTTATGGCGTTGTAAGATGTACATCAATAAATAAATACCCATAATAACGCTTATAATAATCTTCATAATGGACTAGTTTTTGCCAATATGTAATAAGTAAAATAAGCTATAAAACAAATAAATCAATTAATCACTAAAATATTAGTTATTAAATTAAACAAAAAGTAAAACTCTTTAAAAAATTATATAATAAATATGTTGTTTGTCAATTATAAATTAAGATTCATCTCATAAATACATCACAATCTGGCAGCGCTGTCGCCATCGCTTCTCAAAGTTGATCACGTGCATGGAAAATTGTTTTGCGATTACCATACTTTTCATTTATTGTGATATTAATTTTTAACTAAACTTATTTAAATTATATAAAATTTCTTTTAGTTTCAATTTAAAAAATATATGCGGGAAACTGTAACAACAATGCAACGTCTACCGAGGGAAATCACTGAACCCAAAACTTCTGGTGAAAAGGAAAGCAAACTTGAACAAGAAAATGAACAGAAACGAAGAATTTGGATGCTGGAAGGAGAAATAAATGCGTTAAAAATGTATGAATCGTATCAATCTAAGAAAGTGCAAGAAATGGAAAATATCGAAGGAGTTTTAAAAGATTATACTTGGAATGATGATAGCTGGGAGAATATAAAACATATGTTTAATAAGCTTGCCTAAATTTAATGCTTAAAAATTAGTATTTTTTGACGCTATTTCAAGCTATTATGTTTTAAAAATATTTTATTATATTAAACACTGTTTGAAACTTGTTAAATTTTGTTAAATGTTAAATGTTCATATCTAAACAAAGCATATTTTAAAATATCTGATGTTTTTTTTGAAAATCTACTGTATGATCGAAAAAGGGCTTCAAAAACGGCTGGGAATAACAATCAATAACAATTTTGGCGAGGTCAATCTCTAAACATCATTTACTAAAAATTAACATAAAACTTGTCAAAAATTATAATAATAAAAACACTATAATAATAAAATAAACACAATATATATAATAATAATCAAACAAAGTCAACTGTCGCTATCATGAATAGAGCATTAAGTCAATACTTACCGCAAATTTTATCTCTTCAGGACACATGTGATCTAATCTGCTGCGCCGCTGCTGCTGTCTGTCATGTTACCGGATTGAGGATAGGAGAGATGGCGCAACGTTGAACAGAACCAAATGAATAATAAATGACATCATCCGACAAAATAACTTGGAAGTTGGTTCCGTTCGTATCCTAAGGGAATTCATGGACAACCTGAAACAAAAAATAGCTGCATTAGGGTGTCGTTTGCGACGATACAATGAGAGTGCAAAACGGCGCAAACAAAATAAATAATTTATTACCAACCAGAAGTTGTTTCTCAGAGCATTGAGCACTCAAAAAGAAGAACCTGATAGGGCGCTTGTTAAAGCTAATGAAATGTATAACTTCTGGAATAACATCTGGGGAAATGGGCAAGAACATCAAGATGCTTACTGGATTAAAGAAGAAATACACCGCATGCAAGATTTACCTAAAATAAGGGAAATCCAGATAACAGAGAACGATATTAAACAGGCCGTTAGCTCACTAGAAAACTGGAAAGCACCCGGAATTGATAAAAATCCAGGCATACTGGTGGAAGCACCTCACACATGTCCATGCAGTCTTGGCAATACAATTGACCCAAGCAATAAAAAATCCCGCTGAAACAATACCTGCTTTTTTCACCATGGGCATCACGCATATGATACCTAAAAATAAATTTATTGATGATCCTAAAAACTTCAGGACAATAACTTGCCTACCAGTCATATATAAAATTTTCACGTCTGTATTCGAAAAGTCAATATCAAAACACCTAACAAATCACCATATACCGGCAAGAGAACAAAACAGCAAAAAGAATCTAACGAGATTATTTTAACTAACGAAATAACATTCTCACCGTTACATCTGGGTGAAACCTACAAATATCTTAGTATCCGTCAAGCTCTAAAAGTTGATGATGGAGTAATAAAGAAGACTGCGGAGGATGCATTTATGAAGAGGGTTTGTAAAGTCTTGGGAACAGAGCTTCATGCAAAGAATAAAATAGCTGCAATCAATGTGTGGGCAGCACCTGTAATTCTTAATACATTCGGAGTTCTAAAATGGTCACAAACCGACCTGGAGTCTCTCGATAGGAAAGTGAGAACATCAATGACAAGGCACCGAAATCACAAGTTTTTCGTGGAAAATATCCTATACATTGATATAGGATATTACAGCTGTGATAATGACATGTAATTTTATATGTACTAGAGCCATACGCTAAATAAATAAATATAGGATATTTATCCTGACTTTATATATCCTGATATCAGTGGCGTACATGCTTTTATTAGAAAAATATTAGTGACCAGTAATAACCCTTATGCACGTCCCTATGGTGAATATGTCGACACTTTTTTCGCTTAAAATGTGTGGCATTTATAGTTACTTTTACCATCAAAATTTCATTCGAAACTCTAAAAGTACGAAGTATTGTGAAAGAAAATTATAATAAACCAAAAAAATATCAAGACTTTAACACCCTGTAACTACGAAACAAAGCAGAATCGGACCTATGTTGATATAAAAAATAAATCTTATTTTTACGCGGGGAATCTCCCCACGAGAGATGGCACATGTTTACCAATACCCTGTATAATACATATAGTTAGTTCTTTTCATTAGGTATTAAAAATACTTCTGCTTTTAGTTATTTCATCAATTAGTATCTTTTGTGCTTATAAAATTATATATTTTATCAAATTAAATTCATAAAGTAATATTCTCATTTCCATTATTATTATGAATACATAGACATATAAGCGTAATAAAAAAGTAGCCCGCCCTGCACATTAACTGACACGACATATTAACCTATTTCGTAAAACTTATCGATATGTTTCTTCCCTCTTGTAATTAGTCCAGCTGCAATCTAATTTTGCCATTTACAAGGAAAATACCCGGGTGAATCGAGAACGAAAACGATCGTATCGATTGGCAATCGGAATATTAGAAATACGTGTGTACAGGGTGGCGCCTTTCATACGCCGCGGAAGCTCCAAGGAGAACGGTAGTTTATATCGAAATGTAATTTTGGCAGCATATGTAACTGAAAGCATTTTATAAAAATATATAGAATTATACAGGGTGTCCTCCAAAAAAGTTACAGATCAAAGTTATGTTTTTTCTAATGGAACACCCTATATATTAATTGATTTTTGGATTCTAGGAAAAAAACAAAGGTGAGTTTTATTAAAGAAGCATATACCTAAAATCAAAGAATTTTGACATATTTCACATTTTGTGAAAATGAAGAGTAAATTTTAAATTTCGATAACAGCTACCTTAATTTTGAGTTGACCTTGTATAGCCTGATATTTAATTACAGTAACCATTGTATGTTAAACCAAATTGAAATTTGATCCGGAAAGTTATACAGGGTGAGACAAAATTAATATGGAACATTAGTCACTTTTAAAAGCAAATTACTCCTTTATTTTAAATGGAAAACCCAGGATATTATTCCGGTGTTCAATGGAGAATTTATATATCTTCAAAATATTATTACGGTTGGCCTACACCTGAGACAAAGATTTTTCTAGATATTTTAATTCTTTTTGATATTGCGTCAGTAGATCATTATTATTTGAAAAAATCTAGGTGGCTATGATGTACCTTTTGTTAATTTAACAAAAATTAAAGATTGTAGAGTAAAATACTCAACGGCAATAAAAAGATACACGTTTAAAACATATTTTAATTATTACACAATTAAAACTACATATAAAACTATAATTATGTGACAAAAATTAGCTAGATGAAATCAAATGCTTAAACTGCTTCCTTTTCTGTTAACTGCATAAAATGATTGCCTTTTCAAAAGGATCTTTTCATGTTAAAAGGCATATGTGGAGTTCTACCTCGAAAAGCAGCTGCAATAATTTCTCTCATTTTGTCGACAATAGTTGGTCGAGTTTTTTAAACACTGTCTTTAACATATCCCCATAAAAAAAGCAGACTAGATAAAATCAGAAGCATTTAAGTATTCTATTAATTGGTTAGGTTGCACACTGCATTCACCAACTGAATCATACCAATTCTCTCTGATGGAAGATAAGTATGCATTTCGGCAAATTTCTGAGAAATTTTTTGGTTTTAACTGACACAAAATGAGATAATGTTTTTAAAGTTGGACTAATTAGACAGCTATGTTGAAGTAACGTCAGACATAACACACAGCCACCCTAGATTTTATCAAATAATAAAGATCTACTCAGATCGAATCATGTAAATGAAAATATCTAGGAAAATGTTTGTTTGAGGGGTAGGCAACCTTATTAGTATTTTGAAGAGACATGAATTCTCCATTGAATACCGGAATAATATGCTGGGTGTTCCATTTAAAATAAAAGAGTAACATTCTTTTAAAGGTGACCAATGTTCAATATTAATTTTGTCTCACCCTGTATAACTTTTTGGATCAAGTTTTAATTTGATTTAAAGTACAATAGTTAATTGAACTACATATTAGGTTATACCGGGTCTAATAATAATTCCAATTTAGGTAGCTTTTATTGTAATTTAAAAATTGTTCTTTATTTCTAGAAAATGTTAAATATGTCAAAAACCTTACATTTTAGTCATATACTTATTTCTCTTATAAAACTCACTGCTCAGTGCTCTGAATTGCGGACCTACATATGCTTACAAAATTTCTCCTTGCGCCACCCTGTACGTGTGTACGTTACATTTAATTACGGCTAAATGAGGCAAAAAAACATAACTCGAGCTTTGCTTCTGTACGTGACTATCGTTTCGCGTTTGCTCACGCGATGAGACACCCAATATATTTTTTCCTTCACCTGCACAGCCATAAAAATACCCGCATTTTCTCATTAACTTATGAACTAATGCAGTTTGTTGGTTCTACTCGTACGTTTAAATAAAATGAAAGTTTGTGATTTGAAAATAATGTTTTTTAATGAAGTATTTTTATTACTATAGAAGATCGCCTAAAACTTACCGCTTACACAAATGGTAAAAATGACGTCATATTTAATACCGTTATGATAAAATAACGAAAATAAACGGCGTCAAAGAGGTCGGTAATAAAAATCGATGATAATAATCACGATATAATTAAATTAATGAGGTCTAGAGATTAACTAAAAATTGACATAAACTAGTGTGTTATAACTTCAAAGCCACACCATTTTATAGAAATTATTAAGCTTTATTCATAAGTAAGCAAGCAAGATAGTCTTCAAGTTTTGTTTATACCTTTGACATGTTGTTCATTTCTGGCTGACATCATGTTCATTTTCTGGCAGTATTTGTGCATATAATGATGGCTGTTATCACTTATGGACACTCGCCTGCGGCTCGTCTCATAAACTTCATCCGCGTGAATAACAGTGGATAACAGCCACCATTATATGCTCGTTGAATAATATACTATTAATAACCGGAGAGCTGGCGACATAGTTAGAGAACATATTTTAGGCAAGTTAGAATAACAAAAAAAAATAAAGTTTAATAACTTGTGAACCCAGAATCCTAAGTCTGGCTGGGGGGTTGGGGGTATTTCGCTACTGCGCAACCCATACCATTTGCAAAAAAATAAATCGAAAAAACATTCTTTAGGCAACTTGAAATTTGTTTATTCTTAAATTTTAGCATCTATTTAACCTAGAAATAAGTATGCCAGACTTTTTTTTCGGGTTTAAAGTGTAACCAGACCATTCCAAATATGTTTAATTATTATACCTGGAAAACATAC